TTTAATTATAAAATAAAATATATAAGAATTTGTAATTATTATTTATTTATAATTACCATATTTCTTAACCAATATTTTTTTATCCTTAGAAGTTGATGCAAATTCTATTTTATTAATATGTAAAAGCCAATTTATATAATTTTTTTAGTATATTTGGCTTTAGAATTAGTAGGAAAATAAATATGTTTATGTTTTTGTAAATAAATTCCTTTAATCTCACAAAATCTACAATTTGAATATGAATTATATCCTGTGATATTTATGATTTTTATAAAAGCTGAAATATCACCTGTCTATGTAAGAATATATATATGTAATATAAATTCACTTTCGGTATATGAGTTATAATATATTATACCATTTAAAAATAAAAATATTATTTTAATAAAAAATAATAAATACTTATTTTAATTATAAATAAATATAGTAAATTACTTACTTTCTAATTCTTTCATTTCATTAATAAATGGTCGTAAAAATATATTAAAATCCTTTGGTTGATTTAGTCTAAGAATCAAAAAAGGAATTAATAAATTTTCTTTTTTAACTCTAATTAAAGGATCCAGATTATTATTTATTAATAGAAATAATCAACAATCATCAGTTTTTTGTTTAAATATCTGATATTCATCACAAGATACCATAAATGCAACATCTTGTTAATCACTAAATAAATCTTTTTCTAATAAATCTTTATATATATTTCCATCAAAAATATCTTTTAAATCTTCAGATTCAATCTTCTTATTAATAATATATCAATGTCGATAAAGTAATTCTTCAGCTCTTATTTTATTATTATATTAAATCTTCAATCTCTTTTTAATAAAAAGATATGGCATTACTTTTTTAGATTTATTTTTTAAATCATATCTCAATGAATTACATAATGGACAACTTTGATAAGTTTCATAAATTCCAGTATAACATATACAGGAATTTTCACGAATATCATAAAATTTTAAAACAAATCCTGTAATTTCTTCTAATATTTTTTGAATCTTATATAAACTAATATTTTTTTGGCAAATAATTTGATAATATTATTATATGCTGCTTTCGTAAATCAAAACGTTCTGGAAGAATATGGAACGGTTAACTATTCTTGGAGCAAGTGCTTCATTTGAAAGTGTAGGTCTCTGTGCTCTGCATCTGTTTTTTTTTTTTTTTGATTACTATTGAAACATTTCTTTTAGAATGTTCTCAAGGTTCGTATGAGAAGATTCTGTGAAGAAATTGATGATATGATCGAACGTGAGGCGAAAATTAATGAAATGAATGAATGTACTAGTATACTAAATAGTATGCAACAAAAAAAAAATTAGATATACAAATTTATGACTGCGTTTGATCGAAAAACCATCCCATAATGTATAAATAATATAGTAAGTGCACATATTTCATAACTATTAAAAGAATAAATTTTATTCTAATTTTACTCTCTTTTTATTTCCTTTCGTTTCTTGTATTTTCTTTTGTTTAAATGAAGTTATACTATTACTTGTATCTGCATAATTCTCGCCTTCACTTTGTAAAACATCTCGTTCGTTTTTTTGTTCCTTCCAATCAACTGGATTTTTACGTAATTGGTTTGTAGTATATAGATCAGGAAGGTTTTCAACTTTGTAAATGACGAGAGAAGTTAGAAAACAAATATTAAAAGAAATTACTCGAAATAAGCTTACTCACCTGTCATCGTTCCATATTTATTAATCTGTTTAATTAATGGATGATCTTCTGAAACTTCCTCATACTTTATAAAAAAATTCAAATTAGATTCTCGTAGATCATATTAATTATTAAAAAAATTTTATACCTCACTTCCACTTTTCTTAAATACTGTTATTAAACTTCTATTTTGTTCTTCCTTTATAAACTTCGAAACCCATAGATTACCACCAATGTCATAAGCTAAATCTAATGGATCAATTGATAAAGTTAATGTTTGGAGATATTGAAGTCTCTTTTCTTTTTCATTCCAATTAAATATTACAATTCCAGGAAATCTATTTGAATAGAAAAGTTTTCTTATTAAATAAATAATTTGTATGGATTCGCATTTATGTGTAATTTCCAATATTCTTACTTTTCAATCGTTAGAGCTATATGATGTGATATTGGGCTACTTGTAATGGATGTAACGGCAATTTCTAATGAATCTTCATCCATTGCTTCTTTATTATCATCACTTTTCTATAAATAATAAATACTATAAAGCATGACTAGCTTTCAAAGAAAAATTATAGAAAAAAAGATATATATTGTATATTACCTTATCACCAATAATTTCTTTAATATTAACGGTTTGTAATAATCTTCCGGGAACATAATCCCACAATGCTATAAAATCATCACCACCAGCTGATACCAACAAATCCTTTGCCCATGGCAATATATGTATTTTAGATACGAACCTAATATAATATGCACGGAAATAGCTCTTAAGTTGTGCTGAATAAGATTGATCTTTGAAAAGAACGTACTTACTGGTTATGGCCAAGACAATAAGATTCAATGTTATATCCTTTTGGAAATCTACTTATACGTATATGTTCATCGCGATCACACGTGATAACATATCTATTATTTGGTGTTATGGTCTTATTTATAAATTAAAAGAATGATCGATTATTGAAAATCCTTACATAAAAAGACCTTTATATGATATTTACCATATCAGTGACCATTGATACATGTCCTAATAGCAGAGTTGAAACATTTTGTTTTTCTTCAGGCGGATCTAACGGGTAACAATATACATCACCAAACTTATCTGCGGTCACAATTTGTGATCCATCTTTATTAAAAGAGATAGCCATAACACGTTTTGGCACGGGTCTATAACATCATAAAGAAATAAATTCTTAGAAAAGAAGATAATTTCTAAGAAATTTGCATATACCTTGTACTTCTCAATTTCCATTTATCGCAGTCCCAGACTTTTAATATTTTATTCTCGTCACTTGTAGCCAATAATGCCGATGGGTTCAAAGAGGATGATATATTAGAATCCTTTCGCTCATGAAATGCTAATGTTCTTATTGTAACTTGATGAGTGTCACTAGAAGGAATCGTATACTTTGGCTGTATTGAATCAAGTTCGATGTTGCTAACGAATGTTTTGGTATTATCATTATCGGAGGAAGAAGTGGAAACTAATGATCGAGTTGTTGATATCAATGCACCTGTGCTATATTTATGTTAATAATTTGTTAAAAAAATTGTAAAAGGAAAAGAGAATAATTGTGTAAAAGTACCTTGTGTCTAATGCATGAAAATGTGAACCAAATACGAGAATTAATAAATTTCTTGTAGGATGATGTAATAATTTAGTAAATGGTAATCTATGTGCCATTATATTTCAAAGAGAGAGTCGATGATGTTTTAATCTAATATTTTTTGTGTGATCGTTAATCAAAGAAAATCAGTTCCCTTTTCGGAGTAAAGTAGTTATTGATCGCTCATAATAAAATTAAAAGTTTTTTTTTTTTTTTTTTTTTTTTTTGACACTTTCTTCATATATAATATGGAAAATGCAAAAGGCATACACATGAAACAAGCACTTTTGGTATATATAGAAATACTAATATCTTTATTTTTTTTTTTATTTACATTTAGGCGGATGGAATTATTTATAACCTATTTTTCTTTTTTATATTTATATTTAGGCGGGTGGAATAGCAGGAACAGCAGTAGACACGATTTTATATCCTTTAGATACAATTAAAACTAGATTACAATCTAAATCAGGATTTAAAGCCTCAGGAGGATTTCGTGGAATTTATTCTGGATTAACAAGTGCTATAATTGGTAGTGCTCCAGGAGGTTAATATTTATTATTTATTATTATTTATTTATTATTTATTCAGATTCTAAAAAAAGAATTTTTAAAAAAAAAAAAATTAAAGCATCAGCATTTTTTATTACATATGAGTATTCAAAGAATATATTAGGAAATATATTTCCTGATAATAAATATTTACCATTTATTCATATGATTTCTGCATCAAGTGGTGAAGTTGTAAGTATATTATTTTTAATTTATAATAATAAAATTAGATTTTTTTTTAATATTATATATAAATTTAAAAGGCAGCATGTATCATAAGAGTTCCAACTGAAGTAGTTAAACAACGTATGCAAACAAAACAATATGCTTCAACTTCTTCAGCATTGAAAATTATTTTTAAGCAAGAAGGATTAAATGGATTTTATCATGGATATTTTAATACTGTAATTCGTGAGGTAAATTAAATATTAAAAAAAAATTATTTTGAAAAATAAATAAATTAATTTTATTTTTTTAATTATAGATACCTTTTACTTGTTTTCAATTTCCACTTTATGAATATTTAAAAATTTTAGTAGCAAATAATACTAAAAGAAATCATATTGAACCATGGGAAGCAGCAATCTGTGGTAGTATATCTGGTGGTTTTGCAGCTGCAATTACTACTCCATTAGATGTTATAAAAACACGTATTATGTTATCTTCTAATGTAATATATATATATATATATTTTTGATTATTAAAAATTATTATCTATTCTAAACTTTATAAATTTTTTTTATAGCATCAAACTGTACATAATTATTCTGGTACAATTAATACGTTTAATAGAATTTTACATGAAGAAGGATTTAGATATTTATTTTCTGGTATTGGACCAAGAGTTATTTGGATGAGTATAGGTGGATATATTTTTTTAGGAGCTTATGAAAAAGCAAAAAAAATTTTATATAAATATAATTAATAAAATAATAACCTAAAAAAATTTTATATAAATGATTAATTATATATTTTTTTATAAAAATTTATTTATAAAAATTTAATTGTTTAAAAATTAACTTATTAACAACATACCACTTCACTCATGAAAAGATCAAAGCTCTCTGGCTCGATCGATGTGCCACCCTAAAAAAATTTGAAGATGCACACAACTTGTCGCTTAAGGATCGAAAAGAAAATACTGTTTCTACTGGTTTTCCTGACTCCACCCCCCACAATTTTACTATCCCTCCCTATTTTAATAATTCATTCCTTTTTGGAACGCCTTAGTCAAATTTTTGGATCGGTAGTAACCAGGCCCCTATACTGGATGGTAGAACCTGTTTTAAATTAGTTTAGGGTAGGTTAGTCTAGAACGGTGCAAGGTTGGTTTTGATTTA